AATCTCCTAACAAAATTTCCATAGGGTACTTCGGGAATTTATCAAATACATGTTCTAGTTCTTCATAGAATCTATCCTTTATGTCATCAATTTTATCTTCTTTTGGTGCATGAACATTCATAACAATGATATCACACCAGCGACCTTTTAATATTATATATGATATTCTATCACTAACGAACTCTGTTCTCTTAACTGCTGACATGATTCTCTTATGTATGAAAAAACCTGTACCTAATTCATGATTTTCATTCCCCTTTCCATAGAAAAATGTATAGTCTCCTGCTGGTGCGATGCCACCTCCATCCCATCTGACCTCCTGTACTCCCGCTAAATCTAACTTATATTGTAAGATTTCTTCTGCCACTGCCCTGACCGAACCTGCCCTATACAAACTTCGAACATTCCAAGTGCCAAATCTTGTATCCATTTTCTTATCATATTAAAATCTCAAATTAAAATAGAAACTTAGAAATCAAATTTGAATTAAAACAAGAGAATGGGCATCTATTTGCCATTGTCTCTTGACCAGTAATAATCTGTTGTGGATCTCAGTCTATTGTCCCAACTTCAAATTTGCACATTGAATAAGTTGTATGGTTTCACTGTCTTTGCCTTATGACAACAGCCACCAGAGTTCAGAAAATGATTCCAAAGTGACACTAACTGAGTCCCACAAGGGATTCACAATATCACATTACATGGAAGACTGTCTCATTAGAGTTTTGACATTTGCTGCAATTAGAACTATCAACTAATCCCATTTTCAGTAGGTGTTTTCTTTAAGTGCAAGAGACCTATTAGTAGTTCTGTCATAAAATTTAACTGGTTCCTGTAGAGCTTGAATAGTTCCCCTGTTCTCTTTAGTGAGAGCCCTACAATAAAGTGCCTCGTTACAGATTTTCAGTGGTCCAGGTATCTTCCATTCCACTCCTTCAGATTCTATCAGAAATGCCACAGGTAGGATCCAGTCTTCGAATGTAGCTGCAGACCTCATGTTTCTTAGTCAGCCAGGTAGTTCATTGTTTCTATTCTCCAGCAACATTACACCACTAGTTATACCATGTTATATTTTGTCAATATCATCAGGGATTGCAGACAGTCATAGAGTAATCTTGAGTCAGTCTGAGAGAAATGAAATGTTTTAATGATTCTTGACTCTCTGGTAACAAATAAATGTTTCTGTTATTACATTGTCAGTTTATATTTTCCTCATATTTGCTCTAATGTCATATACTTGGAGCACTGTCTTATTTCAGTTTTGTACCAATTCATATACCAGGTAAGTCCCCCTTTCTATTCACTGTGGTCTGACAATATTATGGTAACTCTTTTGTGAAGTGAGGGTGTAGATTGGTATCTTTATATTTGATCCCATTAACAGAATGAGTTTTTCATTCATATCTGAAGCTACTTATATATGTCCATACCCTACAGTTCAAAGTTTGCCTAGTTCATTGCAGTTGAGTCTGTGCATTACAAGGGCCTTTGCCTCAATCTTAATGTGTGAATGGGGAGTCCCAGGAACACTTCAATTGCAGCCGTTGCAGTTGTATTCATAGTCTCAGTTACACTTAAATGTGCCATCCTCTCTAATTTATTAAGTAAAAAATATAAGCTTAATATAACTTTAATTTTCTTTGGATAATCTGGATTATCGATTTCAGAGCTGAAATAATAGGTGTAAGTACTCGTTTAATTTCATAGAGCAGAATCTTTTCTGGAAAGTCACTAAGATGATCAAGAAAGCTCATTACTGGCCCTTGTCCTGAACCAGATAAATCCAGTCTTAGACTGTATTTCTTAAAGATCCACTTTAGTATTTTTTCCAATCTATTCCGAGATCTCCAAAATGTAATGTTAAGCATTAACTATTTAATCACTAAAGGGATAAAA